TTCATAGGATGATTATCCATATTGGGTTGAAGACCCCTATTGATTTTGGGGTCACAAGGTCAAAGGTCAAGGTCACTATTACCTTAAAACTGAAAACAATTTCCGGAGCATAACATTAGTTCAATTTGGCCCAGAGTGTTCAAACTTCATAGGATGATTGTACATATTGGGTAGCAGACCCCTATTGATTTAGGAGTCACAAGGTCAAAGGTCAAGGTCACTATCACCTTATAACTGAAAACAGTTTCCCCGAGCATAACGTAAGTTCCATTTGGCCCACAGTGTTCCAACTTCATAGTATGATTGTCCATATTGGGTAGAAGACCCCTATTGATTTTGTGGTCACAAGATCAAAGGTCAAGGTCATTATTCCTTTAAAACTGAAAACAGTTTCCATACCCTAACTTAAATTCCATTTGGCCCACAGTGTTCAAACTTCATGGGATTATTGTCTATATTGGGTAAAACACCCCTATTGATTTTGGGGTCACAAGGTCAAAGTTTAAGGTCACTATTACCTTAAAACTGAAAACAGTTTCCGGAGCATAACTCGAGGTAATACTTTATTTAATTCCCATGTCTTACAAATTCTTCATCCTTACGAAAAAAAAAAAAAAAACACTTTCGGGCATATAATGCTCCGCCTAGCGGTGCTCTTGTTTCTGATGTGATTGATACATATGCTTATTCATCTTCAGTTGCGGCTAAATTAGTGATCTGAGTGTATAAGAGCTTGCACATGAATTTTATATTCTTGGGTTTGAATTAAGAACAGAGAATCATGAAGTAGAGTTAAAATGGCATTATTGTCTAGAGAATTTGTAATTCCTCACCTTTTTACATTTGAAATATAAGGAATTTATATATTTAGCTCACCTGAGCTAGCTCAGGGTAAGCTTTTAGGGTCATTGAATGTCTGTCGTCCGTCCACACTTGTTCGTTAACACTCCAGCGGTCACATTTTTGCCTCAATATAATCAAACTTTGTCAGGATGCTTATCTACTTGATAGCTTGGATGAGTTTGAACATGGGCCATCTCGGATGAAAAACTAGGTCACAGGAGCTGAAAATTGAAAAACCTTGTTTACACTCTAGCTGTCACTTTTTTGCCTCAATCATCATCAAACTTGGTCAGGATGCTTGTCTAGGTGATAGCTCAAATGAGTTCGAACATGGGTCATCTTGGATGAAAAACAAGGTCACCGGAGCTAAAAATAGAAAAACCTTGTTAACTCTCTAGCGGTCACATTTTTGCATTAAGTGTCATCAAACTTGATCAGGATGCTTGTCTAGGTAATTGCTCAAATGATTTAACATGGGTCATCTCGGATGAAAAAACTAAGTCACCGAAGCAAAAAATAGAAAAATCTTGTTAACACTCCAGTGGCAACTGTTTCCTGTAAATTGGTCTGAAAATTTGTTTTGATGATTTCTAGGTCAAGTTTGAATATGTGTCACCTGGGTAAAAACTAGGTCACACTGCTCAAATATGGATAATCCTTGTTAACACTCTAGTGGTCACATTTTTGACTCACCCGTCAGAATGCTTGTCTAGGTAATTGTTAGGATTAGTTCAATGGGTCAGGTGAGCGATCTAGGGCCATCATGGCGTTCTTGTTTTTCTACTCTATTAAAATAATGCACTCATCCTCTAGTTATATGATATTGCTCATGTATCAGTGTTAGTTTATTTTGAAAATTTATATATATTAATGTATGAATGATGGAAAAAGTCTTACTGAAGGTCTAACAGTACCTGTAACATGAAGGTAAAAGCCTGAAGTCCAATCTGTAAAGAATGCAAGTTATATAAGCTTTGAGAAATAGTGATACCATTGCATTTTCATACCATTATTGTTTGTAACTTTTGAAAGTCTTTGATTTCATTTAAAATGAAAGTGCTCATTTTGAACATTGAGTAAAGATTGTATTTTTATAAACTAGTTGCAGGGATTTTTGTTCATATATATATATATGCATCACATTTTTAGCTCACCTGTCACAAAGTGACATGGTGAGTTTTTGTTATCGCTTTTTGTCTGGCGTCCGTCCATAAACTTTTACTGTAAACGACATCTCCTCATAAACTGCTAAGCTAATTTCATCCAAACTTCACAGGAATGTTTCTTTGGAAGTGAACTTTAAAAATTGTTCAAAGAATTTAATTCCATGTAGCAAAAAAGTTTAAAAATCTTCTTTTAAAAAAAACCTTCAGAGCTAGAGCTAAATTATTAGGCATGAAACATTGTCTGGTAAGTGTCTACCAAGTTTTTTTTTAAATAAAAGCCCTGGAGTCAAAATTGGCCTTGCCCTAGGGGTCATTGATTTTCCTTATTTTTATATAATAAAAACTTATAAAACTTCAAAAATCTTCTTTTAAAAAACCCTGAGAGCTAGAGCTAAGATATTTAGCATGAAACATCTTCTAATGGGTGTCTACCATGTTTCTTCAAATAAGGGCCCTGGGTTTAAAATTGGCCCCGCCAGGGGTCACTAATTTTCCATATATTTGTATAGTAAAAACTTTAAAAATCTTCTTTTAAAAAACCCAAGGAGCTAAAGTTAAGATAGTAAGCATGAAATATCTTCTAAGGAATGCTACTAAGTTTGTTCAAATAAAAGCCCTGGGGTCAAAATTGGCCTGCTAGGGGGTCATTGTTTTTTCCTATATGTGTATAGTAAAAACTTAAAAAATCTTCTTTTAAAAACCCCAAAGATCTATAGCTTAGATATTTATCATGACACATCGTCTAATGGTTGTCTACCAAGTTTGATCAAATAAAAGCCCCTTGGTTAAAATTGGCCCTGTCCCGGAGACCTATATACAGGTGAGCGATTTCAGGGTCATCATGGCCTTCTTGTTTTCTGATTTTACTGTATTACTTACTTGTTTTTTGGAAGCAGTTGTTTTGTTTGTTTAGTCAATTAAACTCTTAGGTTTGTTAGTGCTTTGCTTGATAGATTGTTAAATTTGACTGAAAATGCTATTGACAATTGGTTATTAAAAGTGAGAGATTTATTAAATGCAATTGGTTTTGGTGAAATATGGGTTTTCCCAGCATCTGTTTGTATTGAAAGATTTACGACTGTTCTGAAACAGAGACTAAGAGACTTTTACATAGCAGAATGGTATATAGATATTAACATGTGTCCTTCGTTATATTTATACAAGGAAATCAAACAAACTTTTGAAATTCCCTCATATCTCATAGTATTGAATAACTTGAAATACAGACGAGCAATTGCAAAGATACGTATGGGATCGCATGATTTAATGATAGAAAAGGCAAGACACTTTGGAAATGCAGTGCCAAGAGATCAGCGAAAGTGTATGCTATGTGACATGAATGACAGTGAAGACGAATTCCACTTCGTTTTAACATGTAAATTATATAGAGACATCAGAAAGAAGTATATAAGTGACTATTATTGTAATCATGCAAGTGTTTACAAGTTCATTGAACTTTTAAATTCGACCAATAAAAATGTACTTATCAAGCTAGCATTTAATATATTCTTAAGGCTTTTAGAATCAGACAATCATTTTTTAGAGAGATCAATTAGTGTTCGAACAGTGAATGTGTACTTTTCAACATAATAGTGTCATAATAGATGATGTATTTACCAAGTTTTCTGTTTTTGTAAAAAATATATCAATTCTCGCTGTTTATTATTGTGTGTAGCCGTTGTGTTTTGTGTATAATGTATGTGTTTTTCTATTTCTGTAAATATGATTATAATTATTACGCATGCTACAAATACGTGTCATATTATATGTAAATGTTGATGAGCTGTTAATGTGCTTAAGACTAATAAAATATATGTTATATGTTAGTGAAATGCTCTTTTTTGTAGTTATGCCAGCATATATATAATAACTTTTTTATTTATTTTGTATGTGTATGTATGTGTAGTCAAAGTATTGAAAGAAAAAATGTGAAGTGACTGCGAGAACCTCACAGGTGACCTTTTGTCAATATATACCTATACATCATCAACTCATATTAATGTTAGACTTCACATTGAGTTCTGCATGTCTAGAGTGACCTCTTTGTTTTATATTTTTATACGCTTAAAGCAAATGACAATAGCTTATGATGTCTTTTATTTAAAAAAGAAAAAAAATTTTATTCCTCCAATTTTTGAAAAAAAAAGAAACATTTTACTGTTCTTTGATAACTGATGCATGTCCATGTCTGCATTACTATCACATGATGATCTACACATCTCTATTACAAGCAAGAAAGGCTTTTACTTCTACAACAAAAGTAATGTCATATGTACCTTTAATACTAGTATGTTCTTATCATAATGTATTTCATAGATCAGTCAGACTTGTACATTTTGTTTATTTAAATATTCGAAAATGAAACACAAACACAATATCGAATTACTAATAATTCTTTTAATAAGTCTGTAGTGGCATATTCCCCCATAATTATTTTCCTTGGAAGTCCACAAAAACATGTCTATAACAACAACCTGCAAAGTATAAAAAGTCACAGCAGTATCTACATCCAAATAAACAATGACAAACACACGCTTATATACAGTTTACCAAAATATGTTTAACCTGTGACGTCACCTTTATGATCGATATGATAACTCATAAAATGACAGTTATTTATAATTAAGCAAATGGGGTGTGGCGGGCGGGTAAATGTTTTAAACCAGTCAATCTGTACTGCAGACGTGTAAAGAGTGAGTTTCTGCACGGGTTTTGCCTTATATATACCATACCGGGTACACGTTATGCTCGAGTAAGAAAAAACTATCGAGCGTAACCAGGTAAATTGTGTATCAACAAAATATAGCAGACGATTTATAAAGCTGACGGGGCAGTATAGCAGACGACTAATATTTACAGCAGACGATGTTTTCTAAATAAAATAAATGAAATTATTTTAATATTAAAATAATTTGTACATATGTATTATTTAAATATTCGAAAATGAAACACAAACACAATATCAAATTACTAATAATTCTTTTAATTTATGTATTGTCCAGGTCAAGCAAATATAACTGGCAAGACGAACTTGTTTGGTATGAGATAAAACACAACACTTAGGTTGAATGAAATAAGGCATTTATTAAATGCCATAAATGACAAATGTTACATAATAACAAACATGACAAATGTTACATAATAACAAACATGGCAAGTACCTATTTGTATCGAAATAACCAAACTGGGAGGTAAAAACTGCCTAGGGCATTTATTAAATGCCATAAATGACAAATGTTACATAATAACAAACATGACAAATGTTACATAATAACAAACATGGCATGTACATATTTGTATCGAAATAACCAAACTGGGAGGTAAAAACAAACTGGGAGGTAAAAACCGCCAGATTATGATAACATTGTAATGTAATTCAAATAGATTACAATCTTAACAAAAGTTATGTAAGATGACAAAGTTGAACCAAAAACCATCTACATAAATATAATAAAATGGATTGCTGATCAAAAACAATTGACCAGAAAAAATAAATATTTTCCAAATCGTGGTCGACTCGCCCAGGAAAAACCATAGTTTGGAAACCTGTGCCCTTTTATCTTGTGTCTAGTACCACTTGATGTAGGGCTCCATCCTTGGAAAATAGTTTAAACATTCTATACATTAAAAAGTGTATAACATATGACTAGATCATAAGTATTTATGACAACAAATAGAAAAATATTTGAAAGAGATAATATAACATCGACTAGTTTTATAAATCTTTGCATGAACAATATACATAATATTATATATATATATAGTGTATCTCATGAATAGTTGCACAAATAATTGAGATAAACAATAAGTGAAACAACTGATTCATTAAGAATAAATGAAATGGTATTTATATCAACATCAAAAATTGAAAGAGGAGGATGGAGTTGGAGGAGGTGGATTTTAGTAAACAGAAAGGCGAGAATCATTCCTCGCTAAAATTATTTCTTTGTGATAGATCTAATGTAATCATTGGTTAATTAACATCACATGATTTAAGTCTTGATATCGATTGGCTAAGACGTACTTGGCTAAAACCTGACCCGTAACGGCTAAAAACCTGACCCGTAATATTCTGTACAGTAATGAGTATAGGGACAGAACAATGACATAAATTATTTTATGTGGGCATAAAATCTATTTTATGTATTGTCCAGGTCAAGCAAATATAACTGGCAAGACGAACTTGTTTGGTATGAGATAAAACACAACACTTAGGTTGAATGAAATAGGGCATTTATTAAATGCCATAAATGACAAATGTTACATAATAACAAACATGACAAATGTTACATAATAACAAACATGGCATGTACATATTTGTATCGAAATAACCAAACTGGGAGGTAAAAACCGCCACAAAGGGAACCTTCCGCCACCCAGGGAGACTTGACTAGGGATGAGCTTGACCTGTAATAAGGATTGAAACAGAGGGGCTAAATTTGCCGAAGTTACCATTAATTTAATCAAGTCATGTTAGGACAAAAATGTTACGACAAATCATATATCTAATGACAATATTATAATATGTGTAGAATTAATGTCTAACATTTAAATGGATCCTGACTTGTTCTTTAAATATATGTGGACTGCAGCCTTAAACTGTCAGGCACATTACAGGATATGCTATTGTAAACCAGCAACTGAGTTAATAGACCAAATAATTAGCTGTGAAAATACTTATAACAATTACATTATATATGTATTATTGAGACATCTGACAGTATGCATTATCCGGACTGTTTCAACGTCTAAACTGATTGTAACAAATAGAGGTATGAATCAAATTTATAGTTTCAAACTATGTGTAATGGAAAATTGTTACAAGAATATACTAGTCATCAATGACAATGAAACTAGAAAAAATTATTTTTTAAATTAGAAATTAGGAATGGATTATTATTGTATCAGCAACCAGATATCCTTCAATGGTGAACAGCCAAATTGCATGGCCATGGCTTCCAAGTTGCAGTCATCAACTTAGCACAGGCCCCTAGCCTGTGAAACTAGTTCATGAAGTGAAAAATATACAAAAATTTAGTTAAATATATAGTAGTATGAATTCAAAACTGAATTTGGGCTAGTAGATTGTAAATTAAAATTTTAAATGCATAGACTGGAGTATGTCAACAGTGCGTGGCACCTTAGACATTTAAACATACACATCTCCTATGTAAGGTATGTGACATTGAATTTCAGTTAGTATCTTCAATTTGCGTAAGTCCTAGCGGATATGCCAATTCTTTCGAATCATTTATTCGTTAAACCTTTAAAATGCATTAAACCAAAATAGATGTAAATGTCAATTTGTTCGCTATACATTTTTCCAATTATCAGTTAAGACCTAATGTAGAATTGAAATCAAAATTGTAAAATATCTAATTAAACCTTATTTATGCATTTGACCTAAATACATGTGAGTCTGACGTGTCTAATGTTAATTTGTTCATTATATGATTGTTGCATGAAAAATATAAATTAATGTATTAAGTAAGGATAAATAGAAAAAGTTTCTATACAAGACTAGACTCTTCCAAAAAATTATAAAGTAACGACAATAATACATAAAAACCTTCAGTACAAATGTACTTATAACATTTACATAAATCCATTCAACTAGTGATATTAATATCATGCAGTAGCATGAACACAATCTGAAATTATATGTATGATTAATTAAGAAACCTGCAGCCTTGTACTGTCAGATTTATAAAACCTTTATGAAGCCAAATTGCGCATATCTGCCATAAGATATACATGAATAGGAATACCGTCATACACATTATTATGGCACGAAAGAAATAAACTTCAGCCTTGCACCGTCAGCAAGGAGAAAACTGCAGCCTTGAACTGTCAGTTATTTGAAAGATTGTAATGACACTCAGTTTGCAGTAATTCACTGTCTTTTTTATAATATCTAAAGAACTGCTGCCTTATACCGACAGATCATAAATTACCAAAATAAAAGTGGAAAACTGTAACCTACAGTATGTATAACGTACTGCAGCCTTTAACTGTCAGTAATTTAAAAGATTGTAATGGCACTCAGTTTGCTGAAATTCACTGCTTTTTCTATATATAAAGATCTGCTGCCTTATACCGACAGATCTTAAATTACGAAAAATTAAAGTGTAAAACTGTAACCTAGATTAATTAAAAACTTATGTATTTAAGACATGATGTGGAAATCTCCCGCGGCCTTTTATAAAGGCTGTCGTTCCTGACTAGATATTGGACATTTTTCTTGCGCGGGCTAGTAGGGTTCCCATACATGATTAATTTGAAAAAGAACTTCTGGCATGATGTAACAATGTATCTATGTACAATTAAAATCCAATTTCATATCAAATTAAAGCATCAGCCGTGCAGAATGGATAAAATAAACTAAGCCAAGCTGACAAGACAGTACATAATTTGAGACTTGAAACAAATTGCAAAGCATTTAAACTAAGCAATGCACACTATTAAAATTTATGAATGAAGGCAAATCGCGTCAACTAAGCAATGCCTAATACAGCAATGGTATGCTGACATAATATCAAGGCGTGTAAACTAAGCCAAGCTGACCAGTACAGACAAACAAATGGCAAAGCGTGTCAACTAAGCAATGCCTAATACAGCAAGGGTATGCTGAAATAATAGCAAGGCGTGTAAACTAAGCCAAGCCGACCAGTACAGACAAACAAATGGCAAAGCGTGTCAACTAAGCAATGCCTAATACAGCAATGGTATGCTGAAATAATAGCAAGGCGTGTAAACTAAGCCAAGCTGACCAGTACAGACAAACAAATGGCAAAGCGTGTCAACTAAGCAATGCCTAATACAGCAATGATATGCTGAAATAATAGCAAGGCGTGTAAACTAAGCCAAGCTGACAAGTACAGACAAACAAATGGCAAAGCGTGTAAACTAAGCAATGCCTAATACAGCAATGGTATGCTGAAATAATAGCAAGGCGTGTAAACTAAGCCAAGCTGACCAGTACAGACAAACAAATGGCAAAGCGTGTCAACTAAGCAATGCCTAATACAGCAATGATATGCTGAAATAATAGCAAGGCGTGTAAACTAAGCCAAGCTGACAAGTACAGACAAACAAATGGCAAAGCGTGTAAACTAAGCAATGCATAGTACAATAATGGTATGTTGAAAGAATAGCAAGGCGTGTAACTAAACCAAGATGATAAGACAAGTACAGAATCTATTTCTGGTTTATAAAAGGTGTAATTATTAGCTCAGCAATCTGAATACCATTACTTCTTATGTTATTTCAACTGTCTTGGGCAATAAATATGAATTTCCTTGAAGCTGTGTAAAACATGTATGCCAACATCAGTTTATTCATTATCTGACTCAACCTTGAAAACTATGAAACATGTAATGAAAGGCTGCTAATGTACTGATGAAAGCATTGTCTTAGGTCCCAGGTCCGCTTGCACTATTAATTCAACGATAATGATTGCTCCCTCGACTAGTCTTGGTTTTTGCAGGATTTACTGGACATTCTTGGTATTTGGCTTTTCCTTGTTGTGGACCTGAATAACAGGTGTAAGGAGAATTTGTGGCCGTTTCATCTGAAAAATATGAATTATTTTGTCATTAAGGTAGACTAAATGTATGAAATGTAATTGATTATTAAATTAATTCTGATAGGATAATTATGAGTGAACTATAAACTAAATCACACTCGCACTGACTGTAAACTAAACCATGTGTGAATAAATTAGTGTGAACTGTAAATTAAATCACGCAGACATGGGCTTTAAACTAAACCATGTACAATAGGATATGTGTGAACTGTAAACTAAAGCACACTCACATGGACTGTAAATTAAACCATGTGTAAATAGGCGTGAACTGTAAACTAAATCACGCAGACATGGACTTTAAACTAAGCCATGTATAATATGATAAGTGTGAACTGTAAACTAAATCACACTCACATGGACTGTAAACTAACCATGTGTAGAAATTAGGCGTGAACTGTAAACTAAATCACGCAGACATTGTCTATAAACTTAAGCAATGTATAATTGGATATGCGAGAACTCTAAACTCAATCACACTCACCAGAAGTGTAAACTAAACCATGTGTAGAAAATATGCGTGTAAACTAAACCATGTGTATCATCGTTTAATGTTCATACATCATATAGCATGAAAACCAAGTACACAGCACGTGTGTTTGTTTGGATTCACAATAAAAATAAGTCGCTTTCACTTTATAACTTTATTGACGGCGTGTTTGTTGTTGTTGTTGTCGGTTACATACTACTAAATTTCTAAAGGTCAGACTCATCTATTTAGATATGAACACGACATTCCTCCCTACCTTGAATTAAAGTTATAGCACATGAGGAACATCAACAATGATAATGTCTCTAGTATTCAACACAGTTATTCAATTATTGTCTATGGTGTTAAGCACATATTTATATCCATTGGTTAGTTATCAAACATATAAAATGGTTACAAAATGTCACTGAAATTACACATATCATTTTCTTACGTGAAATACTTCAAACACTACTGTCTTAAATGGTCATAAACTTACTTGCTGTTGAACCAATAATACAATGAAATGTTGTTAAACTGTGCATAATATTTTAAATGTTACAAACAAACAGAATCAACTATCTAAAAATATTCAGTAATTCAGTAATATACCTAATAGAATATTCATTGTTTGACCTTAAAATAAGAAAAA